ATAGTTTGGTCAAAGTGCGGGGTAGCCAGGCCCAGAAGAGCATACGCTAATTTTATATCTAGTAAATAATAGATAATTAGGTCTTCAGCCGTCGCATGTGTATATATAGGTGTGTGTATATTCTATTCTTCAAACGTCGCGAGTGTATATATATATATATATATATATATATATATATATATATGATTTTACTTTTAATTCTGATACAAACTAAGTTTTTTTAAGCATTTCACCCTAGGGAAGGCGGTAGTGGCCATAGCACGCAGGGGATTACAAAGAGTGAAAGTGATGGAAAAGACTGGGTATAAGTGAGATTGAGGAAAGGATAAAATATGAACGGGGTTCAAGTCAACAAGATGGCGGCTGACGCTGCTTTTAAATTTTTGAAGAATGTTGTTATCAAGAAAGCAAGTAAGTGGAAGGGAGTTCCACAGTCGGGAGGTGCGAGAAAAAACTGTTGGAGTAGAAGTACCCGTTACACTTGACTATTTCAACAGGAAATTGGTTGGCCTCGATGCCAATCTGGTAGCACGCTTAAATTCGTGTAATCGGGGCACCAGGGGTAAAAAAAGAACCAACTTTACTTGCAGTAGATGCAGCTATTGATTCAATGTAGCTGTTCCACCTCAAGTCAGTCGAAAACGTGTGGCCAAGAAGACTCAGTGAGACGCTGTCCTGGAGTAGAGTATCAACCATGCTGATTTTCCGGCAGCGAAGGTTCTCTGTGGTGGTTAAATGAGAGCAGTTTAATTTTGGAGGAATTTAAAATTTGCAAGCCAGATTCTGCCTCAGTTAACCACTGATTAGAGGTCCTTTTCAGGAAAAGCGACGAATTTAACTTTATCAGCGCTGCTGGTTTGACTATTGAGACAGGATTAGATAGAACTACGTGTTGAACTTATGATATGTGTCTGCTATTCCTCGACTGTTGTCGTCGCAAAGCAATTTTCTACGTCAAAATTACAAAATATCATCTTTGACCGTGGATATCTTTGTTTCGTGCCTGTATAACCACTCAGAGGATGGCTCATGTGAGCCGAAAGCTTAAGACCAACAATGAAAAAAATATCCAAATGTTAAACAATTTTTGTCTTTATTTTCACCCTATATCAAAATAATCATTCGAACATTAGAACGGCTTATGATCAGACATTCATTGTCTGTTATATTTAATAAAATGTTTAAATAATGATCTGCTGCCCCAATAAACTATATATATATATATATATATATATATATATATATATATATATATATAGTTACAAAAGAACTTGGTAAACCGAATGGGTAATTCCAAGGAGGATGAAATCCTGAGAGCTCAATGCGAATACAGAGCTAATATTTAATGAAAAACAGACCACTTTAAGGTACCATTACAATAATTTATTTCGCCAAAATCCTTTTTAAAGGACTCCGGATCATCAGGTAAATTCCAACAACGAAATGAAAGGAAAAATGGGATATATATATATATAACGAAAGATAGTCCACGTTGTTTCTAATAATATGTAGATTTAATAGGCCTGATAATGAAATTTTAGGAATAAAAGGACAACAAAATGATAGCAGTATTGGCAATAAGATCGATGATTAGTAGGCCTTTTGACTAAATTGAAGAACGATGAAAAAAATTTAAAGTCGGAATTTTCAGACACGTCTGTGTCCTTTTTCATCGAGATGATCAATGTTGTTGTCGTTGGCTATAGGGCCTACTAATATATAATAAATATCATCAATCTTATTCCCAATAAATTCATCTTTTTTGGCTTATTATATATATATATATATATATATATATATTGGAAAATTGAATTTTGAATTGATCTTAAATAATTATCAGCTAGTTATAAGACAGTCAGTGTCAATCAACCTTGACTCCTCTCCCCACTTTTTCGGCCTTGTACCACAATTTGTGTATTCAATCAGTATTAAATCGTAGACATATCAGTAGGACTTCTGACTCCCAATACAGCAGGCATAAAAATTTTACTATTACAAAAAAAAAAAAAAAAACGTTACCGGTTACGCAGTTTAATCCTCAAAATAATTCGTGACAGGTAAATTTAAGTAAGTTAAACAAAAAAAATGCATGCATAATAGAAACAAATAATTATAATCACTAATGCAATGTGTCACACATCACAAGTTAACAGACACCAAACAAAATGCGTCTGTAAATTTATTACCAATACATAATTACGAAAAATTTGATAACGCCTCAACTCAATATGTTTTGTTCTCTGTTACATGTTTTTCTTCACAATTCATTTTCAGCATTAACTTGGAAGATCCATGTGATACAATTTAGAGCTAGATAGTTAAAGATACACTAAATTTTTAAGCTTTTTCTTTTACTACTGCAACAAAAGCCCCACACTCATAATAGAAAAACAAACGCCTCTAATTTTCGGCAATAGTGACATACACTGCCAATTGTTTCAGTAGCGAGCCACTTACCGGACGATCATGTGGGGTTGAATGACAATGGGGAGCCTTAATAGCGGGAGAAAAACTGCTAAGAGCCACGTGAGATAGGAAGTTATGATTACCTATGTCCTAAAAGGACACGGTACAAAGAAGAAAAAGAAGAGGAGGAGGAAGTAGAAGAATTATCAGCAGTAATATTACCTTGAAGTTTATTAGATGAAGTATTATTAATTTTCTTAGCTGAAGCATTTTCAATATTATTAATTTTTGACTGTTTCTTTTAACTTAATTTCACTTCCTTAATTTACACTAGTATATTAGTAGGTAATTTACCAAGATCAACAAAAAACAGAAAATTGTGGAGAGCCATGATGGACTATATCCTGGAGGTAAGCAGCACATAGAAAAAGAACTATTATTGTAACATCAGTTGTTGTAGCTGTTATTGTTTCAATCTAAGTCAAAGCGACGAAATAGCTGTAAAAACAATAATAATTTTTTTTTAAATCCTATAGTGATCTGAAGGTCTATTGATGACATCAGTAACTGATAACTTCCTACTAAACCAGAGCATCTTCTTTGAAGAGACAAGATGACGAGTAAAAGAATCGTGTAAACATGTTTGCAACAAAGTAAACAACTAATTCAGTCTTTATCTTGCTCTACCCCTTCGTTATTCTCTTTTGATAAATGCATAAAAACCCTTTCTATAGTCTTCTTGTTTCCTTCCGCGTATGCTTTCTGAAGAAGAAAAAAAAAGACCTGCGCATGCGTATTTTATTTAAAATCTGCCAGTGGTATCGTCTGTCCTTTCTTTTTTCACGCAATATAAAACATTGAACACGAATGCTCTTATGCGCGTGTAACTTTATAATAGATTAACATTATGTAATAATAAGAATGTGATAAACGTTCTGAAGATTCCACGGGTCAAGTCTAAAAGGTTCTATAGATGAGAAAAACAAGAGATAGTAAAAGACTTATATCCTTTCTCTCTAATATAGAGAAAAGGATTATGCGAAACGTTGAGTCGGTGCGAAAAGTTTCCATTTCTAAGCTAGTATATTGCGTTCACTTTCGCATTTTGGGAAGAAGCCTAATTCTGTCTCTTCTTATGGGTTAAATAAAAGCAGAGAACGGGCTCCCTAGCCGTGGGTGGCAGCCAGTCTAGAAGAAAGAACATTTTGAATTCCGAACCGTGCAGGGCAATACAAAGATAATAAAGAAAATGGATCTGTGAAGAATTATGAACGCTTCTGTACGTAAGGAATATGACATTTAAAGAGAGAGAGAGGGGGGTACTGAAAAAAGACACGAACTAAAGAGATTTATCTACAAATATATATTCAACGTTTATTATCCATACAAATGAATTTTATTTTGTTTGTGGTTCTAGACTGAGTGTAAGACAGCAAGAATTGGTTCATACGAAGTATGCTTTTTGAAGAAGAAAAAAAAAGGACCTGCGCATGCGTATTTTATTTAAGATCTGCCAGTGGTATCGTCTGCCCTTTCTTTTTTCACGCAATATAAAACATTGAACACGAATGCTCTTACGTGCGTGTAACTTTATAATAGATTAACATTATGTAATAATAAGAATGTGGTAAACGTTCTGAAGATTCCACGGGTCAAGTCTAAAAGGTTCTATAGATGAGAAAAACAAGAGATAGTAAAAGACTTATATCCCTTCTCTCTTATATAGAGAAAAGGATTATGCGAAACATTGAGTCGGTGCGAAAAGTTTCCATTTCTAAGCTAGTATGTTGCGTTCACTTTCGCATTTTGGGAAGAAGCCTAATTCTGTCTCTTCTTACTTATGGGTTAAATAAAAGCGGAGAAAGGGCTCCCTAGCCGTGGGTGGCAGCCAGTCTAGAAGAAAGAACATTTTGAATTCCGAACCGTGGAGAAGACAACGTCAAACTACTCTACTATATCTCCCAACAATGCAAGTCAATGCAAAGATAATAAAGAAAATGGATCTGTGAAGAATTATGAACGCTTCTGTACGTAAGGAATATGACATTTAAAAAGCGAGAGGTACTGACACAGACACGAACTAAAGAGATTTATCTACAAATATAGATTCAACGTGTATTATCCATACAAATGAGTTTTATTTTGTTTGTAGTTCTTGACTGAGTGTAAGACAGCAAGAATTGGTTCATACGAGGAATGCACTTGTACCGGGATTTATGGAAAGAATTCTTTGATCCTAGACAAAGTTGACAGATTCTTTGGTCCTAACTGAACCTAGGCAATATGTACTATTTATTATTATCACATACAGAAGTACCACGAGCGATTTACTTACCTCAGGTTGAATAAAAAAACTTATTCTTATCATAGACAGACGTAGCAATCCATTAATCGTCGACAAACCCCCCCCCCCCAAAAAAAAACAGGTATATTTTGATCGTAGGCAGAAGTATCGGATAGTGACTCATCTATCCTAGGCAAAGAACAGGGTTATTCTGATCGTAGGCAGAAGTGCCGGGAGCTATTAATTGCAAAGAACAGAGATATTTTGATCGTCGGCAGAGTGCCGGCTGAGGAGTTGACGCTGATTGATCCTAGACAGAAAACAGAGATATTTTGATCGTGAGCAGACATGCCGGGAGTGATACATTGATCGTAGACAGAAAACAGAGATATTTCGATTGTCGGCAAAAAACAGAGATATTTCGATAGTAGGTAGAATTGTCGGGAAGTGACTCATCTTTCCTAGGCAAAGAATAGAGACATTCTGATCGTAGGCAGAAGTGCCGGGAGTTATTAACTGCAGAGAACAGAGATATTTTGATCGTTGGCAGAACTGCTGGTGAGCCACTGATTGATTCTCAGTAGTAAACTGAGGTGTTTTGATCATAGGTAGATATTCCGGAAGCAATTCATTGATCGCAGACATAAAACAGAGATATTATTATTATTCGTAGGACGACGTGCCAGGAGCTAATCATTAATCTTGGGTAAAGGACAGAGATATTTCGATCGTTGGCAGTAGTGTCAGGGAGCGCCCCTCAGGCCCTGGGCAGAGAATAGAGAATTTTTGTCATAGGCAGAAGTGCCGGGAGCGATTCATCGATCTTAGGAAGATAAAAATAATTTTATTATAGACAGAAGTGCCTGGAATGCGATTCCTTTATACTAGGCAGAGACCAGACATATTTTGATCGTCGGCAGAAGTGCCGGCTGCGGTGTTGGCAGGTTACTGATTGATCCTAGACAGAAAACAGAGATATTTTGAGCGTAAGCAGACATGCCCGGAGCGATTTATTGATCGTAGACAGAAAACAGAGATATTTCGATTGTCGGCAGAAAACAGAGATATTTCGATAGTAGGTAGAAGTGTCGGGGAGCAACTAGGTAAGCAAAGAACAGAGATATTTTGATCGTAGACAGAAGTGCCGGGAATGATTAACTGCAGAGAAGAAAGATATTTTGATCATAGGCAGAAGTGCTGCTGAGCAAGGGATCAATCCGTGGTAGTGAACTGTAATGTTTTGATCATAGGTAGATATTACGTAAGCGATTCATTGATAGTAGACAAAAAAGAGATATTTTGATCTTAGGCAGAAATACCAAGAGCTAATCATTGATCCTGGGTAGAGAACGGAAATATTCCGATCGTTGACGGTAGGGCCGGGAGCGACCCATCGGCAGAGAATACAGATATTTTGATCATACACAGAAGTGCCTGAAGCGATGTATCGGTCCTAGACAGAGAATAATATTTTGATCGTCGATTGAAGTCATGGTGGGGATTTGATCCTAGACAGAAAACAGAGATAATTTGAACATAGACGTACCTGGAAGCGATTCATTATTTCGATCGTAAGCAAAAAAAAAACATATACTTTGATCGTAGGTAGAAGTGTTGGGCTGTGACTCATCTATCCGAAGCAGAGAACAGAGATATTCTGACCGGGAGAGATCCATTGATCGTAGTCTGAAAACCGATATATTTTGATTGTAGGCAGACGTACCGGGAGCTATTCATTGATCCTAGGCAGAGAAGAGAAATGTTCCGGGAATCAACCGATCGGTCCTAGGCCGATAATAGAGATATTTTGATCCTAGTCAGAAGTGCCGAGAGAGATTCATCGATCGTAGGCAGACAATGATATGTTGACCATAGGCAGACGTGCTGGGAGCGCGGTGCATTTAACTTATACAGACAATAGTGATATTTTGATCCTAGGCAGAAGTGCCGAGAGCTATTCACTGATCCTAGGCAGAAAACAGAGATATTTTGATCGTAGACAGAAGAACCGGGAAGCATCTTATTGATCCTAGGCTGTGAACAGAGATGTATTTTCACTAGTACTTCTGCCATTGAACAAAATATCTAACAACAAGATGTAGGGGCATAGATAGATAGATAGATAGATAGATAGATGTGGCACCCTGCATTATTAGAAAAACTAAAAAAAAAAGAAATATTCATAGAAATATGATTTAATTTTTATTCGGTTTATTAACCAGTTGTTAGTTATTTAGACGAAGAATAATTGAGTTTTGAGAATAATTCTCTAATTCTATTTAGGCGATCCGAAGGGAAGAAGAAGAAAGAAAAAGAAAGAGGGAAGAAGAAGAAAAGAAAAGGAGAAGGGGAGAAATAGATAATACGGTCATAAGCAAAAACAGGTGTCAAGAGATATCTAGGCCAACGCGCCTAACCGAATTTCACGAACAATAGAAATTGCTATTTGGAAGAATAGAATTAGAGGTAATTAAAAGAAAGAAAGAAAACAGACATGGGCGATTGATAAAAATATCGGTCAAAACCATCTGGCCTACTTTGTGTCCACGGAATGTAGAAGGTCAGTATCAGTTTGGAGAAATGGGATTTTTAGAACAATGGAAAACGAAACATTACTCGGAAAGGGGTGTCTTTGGAATGAGAAGGTGACCGCTGGAATTGTATACAGATCCTGACCTGTTGAAGATTAGAACCCCCACGATGATGAAGTGAGGATATTTTCAATTCAGATAATTAAGATTTTAACTGTCAGGCCTGAACGAAAATAAAGGAATAAAAACAATTGTTTTGACTCACAGAAAGCGCCAGCGAGACGAGAAAAATTCTTCCTGAAGTCACATCTAATTAGCGGCGGGCTGTTTTGACAAAAACCAAAAGGTGAGAAAGGCCGAGATTGTCATTTTCGTGCGTGCGAAAAAGGCCAAATTGGATTTTGTTTTTTTAGCAAGGTATTTTCTTTCCCAGAACAAAGCCGGGATAGACCACGCCCGATTGGAGACGTCACGAAGGACGGAGACGCCCAACCAGAATCTCATTAGCCGAAAGCGGTCACGTGATATGCGAGAAAGAGGAGAAAGGACGCTCGACCTGGACCCATTGGTCGAAAACGGTCACCTGACATACGAGAGACCGGGAGAGATGGGTATGCGCCTCCCCCCAGAGGCACTGTGAGGAAGTAGGGGTGAAAATAAGAGCGATAATGGGAAATCAGAACTAATGCGACTTTTGAATTATCAAAGGAACCCTGACGCCGACAGACCCACCCCAGTTTGTTGCGGCGTCAATAAAAGCAGAACCCCAACCGACAGAAATCAGAGAGTTGCGGGGTAGACGGCCAGAGCAGTTGGAGAGCGGACGGCGGGCCCTGTTCATTCGCCCCTTGCGGGCAAGAAGGGTCGGTCCGTTTGGCCCGGACAGGCAGAGAAGTTGCAGCCAAGTCGAAGAGAAGAAAATTGCTCGAAAGCCGCAGAGAAGTTGGAGCAGAATTGCAGGCCAGACAAGCCGAAGAATTGCAGGCCAGATAGGCAGAAGAGCTGCAGGCCAGACAAGCAGAAGAGCTGTAGGCCAGATAGGCAGAAGAGCTGCAGGCCAGACAAGCAGAAGAATTGCAGGCCAGACAGGCAGTAAAGTTGCAGGCCAAACAAGCAGAACAGTTCAGCCCCGGAAGGCAGAGAGAAGAGATCACTCAGACGGCAGAGAGAAGAGTTCGGACCTTGGCGAGAAGAGTTGCAGGACGGAAGAAGAAGTTACTTGCAGTTGCGTCTAGAAGAAGTTGAAACCAGGCCAAGCCTGAGGGTGGAAATTCGTCCAACCCAAATCGAAGTGAAGAAATACGTCCAACTCAAGCCGAAGCGAATAAGCTCGTCCAACTCAAGCCGAAGAGAAGAATCAGCCGTGAACGACTGGCAGAGATTAGCGCCCAGTGTCGAAACCAAACCACACTCCGACATACAAAATTCTAGAGAGTAGGCAACTCGAAGTCTTTAAATTGTATGATAGAAGCTTGGTGCCAGAGTCCACAAAACGGGTCGGGAAGTAAGAATAATTTTTATGTAACGAACATTAGATATAAAAGGTTGTTACCCTTTCTTATCAGTAATTTTTTGCCTCGTGAGTTTTTTTTTCTTTTGCTTGTGTGTTGCCACCCCCGTTGAACCCAGCTGGCATACGGCCCCGACTGTTTGATCCCGTCTGTCTAAGATCTAATCACAACGTGGGTAGGCAGACCGGAGATCAGTACAGTTACCCTAGTAACCAGGTGTTGGAAGCGAGTTGGGAACGGCGAGGCTGGTAATCATCTAACCAGAGGGTTGGAACGTCACACTTGGAGCAGCGAGGAGCGAAAAACTGACGCCGCGGCAAAAAACGTCACAACTGGTGCTGTCCGTGACAAGGATCGACCCTTGGGCGGCCACATCACGTCACGTCACAGTTGGAGCCGCGAACGAGATCGAACGACAGAGTCGACGCTGCGACCAAGGAGGGGCGACGTCACATAGATGTAGGGGTACAGATAGATAGATAGATAGATAGATAGATAGAAGTAGGGGCATAGATAGATAGATAGATAGATAGATAGATGTAGGGGTACAGTTAGATAGATAGATAGATAGATAGATAGATAGATAGATAGATAGAAGTAGGGGCATAGATAGATAGATAGATAGATAGATAGATAGATAGATAGATAGATAGATGTAGGGGCATAGCACAAATGGCAAAAGCAATCCAATGATCCTTGGCAGAAAATTGAAATTTTGATGATAGATGTACCGGAAGTTATTCCTTGATCATAAGCACGAAAAACAAACACATTCTGATCGTAAGAAGAAGTTCCGGAGAGTGACCCATTAGTTTTCTGCATCGAATAGTGATATTTTGTTCTTGTACATAAGTACCGGGAGCGATGTATCGATCCTAGGCAGAGAACAATATTTTGATCATATGCAAACGTGCGGGAAAGCGGTTCATTTAACCTATACAGAGAACAGAGATATTTTGTTCAATGGTAGAAGTACTGGGAAGCGATTTATTTATCTTAGACAAAGAACATTCAGATTGTAATTAGATCTGCTGGGAAACGAAACCTGATCCTAGTCGAAGTGTTGATCAATGCATAAGTTATTCTGTTGCTTTTGACGAACGTTATGCTTGTTCATATGTTTGATATTTGGATTTAAACTTATTTTTTATCTAATTATAAAATGGCATATTGAACGCACTGAATTATCTATAACAAATATATTATCATACACAAGAGCTGTTTTAATGAAGCGCCAATTTCAAGAGTAAAAGACGAATTCTCTTTCATTTTAAAACGCTATGTATCTGGTGAAATATTTTAAATAGGACGTTAAAGTTATCTTTGACATGATTTATCGAATATCATGTTTAATGTATTTGAAATCCTGATCAATATACGGTCCAGATGGTAAGTTTTTTTTTGTTCTCGATATTACCTTTCTTTCTGCATAATTGATCCGTGATTTTTATCGATTGAATACGTTTATGAAAAGTTTACATCATATTTTCGCTTGTTCTATCCGATTCATTTAATACGTGCAGCGAAACTATCCGTTTCATGACGAGATCTAATTGCTTTTTCGGTTCGCTTGATGTGATTGCAGCATAATTAATAGGACATTAAGAGATGAGAATAAGTGAAGTGGTTGAATGAGAAACCGGTTGGTAAGAGACCTGCTGAGATAGATAGATAGATAGATAGATAGATAGATAGATAGATAGATAGATAGATAGATGTAGGGGCATAGATAGATAGATAGATAGATGTAGGGGTACAGATAGATAGATAGATAGATAGATAGATAGATAGATAGAACTATAAATTCCACTTATTTAAGAAAATGTATAAACGAACTTATATTTTCTAAATATGGGTTACCAATACCAGTAAAGATCATACCAATCCTCACTGGGTGCCAAACATTTAACTTTGTGCCAAACTATTCGTAAGTCCATAACAACGGAGATACGTCTATAGCTTAATTCCATAATAGTGTCATTTAATCATCTTTATTATTATTGTCGGTACTAACAAAGGATATCTCTAATAAATACCAGCGACGTTCGCCGAGGCCAGCTCGTCCGCCATACCTAAATATCCTTCAATGCCCTCGAAATAGGTCTATTTATAACATGCTTAAAGGCAAATAGCTTGTTTGAAAAGCATAGTTTTATTTAATACCGTAACATAATAGTGGAAGCTTCAGTGAACATCGATCTCAAGACCGTATCATTAATGTTTTGAGATCAGCTTACTAATCATTATTTGTAAAAGACGTGCCTTCAATGAAAAGCTTGTTGGGCATGAGGACCGAAACATTGGCTTATGGGGTTATATTTTGAACCCTCTCTTTATGTCAAGCATCCTGAAAATAAGAAAATATTATTACATTAAATACAATAGATTGATATAAAAGAAAGAATAAATCCTTTGATAGATAAATAGATAGTTAAGAAGAATGAACAAAGATAGATAGATAGAGAGAGAGAGAGAGAGAGAGAGATTAATAAGAATGAACATAGATAGATAGATAGATAGATAGATAGATAGATAGAACTAAGATAGATAGATAATAAAAATGAACATAGATAAATAGATAAGAAGAATGGACACAGATAGATAGATAGATAGATAGATAGATAGATAGATAGATAGATAATAATTTCTAGGATGAGGAGTTATCACTTTTTAAACTATTTATATTCGAAACTAGCAGTAGAGCCCGGCGTTGCCCGGGGATGTAACAGTAAGAGATAGATCAAATATCGACCATCATAAAGACTGAAAAATAAAATTGACAAAGTTTAAGGTTGACGGACAGGCATGTCTTGATTAGTTTTTTTGTTTTGCTTTGTTTTTTGGGGTTTTTTACGACTTGGTAAAACCTAAACTGAAACAAAAACATTGTTTTCAATCGTTATGAGTCTACCGATTGAATAAAATTTTATTATAAACAATTGTCTTGTAAATGGAATTTTTAAAGCATTCTGAATGTAAAAATAAAGAAAAAAGTGTGCAAGACAATAAGAAACACTACCTGCCAAAATCAAGTGAAGTTTTGTTGAAATTGGTTGAAAAATGTAGGAAATCCAATCCTATATATAAACGAACACACGCACACACACACACACACACACACACACACACACACACACAACCTGGGTTTTATAATAAGTATAACTTGATATGAGTTGCCCCCCTTTCATTCTCGCGACAGTGATGCCTCTTAATCGTGTTTTCAAATTGATTTCGTGCAAAAACAATTGTGTTTTTTCAATTTTTGGCACTGTCAGAACCACCGCAAGGTAATTTTAAGTAGTCCTGTGAAGTTTTGTTGAAATCGGTTGAAAAACGTAGGAAATCCGATACAATATATAAACAAATAGACACCCACACGCACACACATACAACCTGGGTTTTATAATAAGTATGAATATATCCCCATCTTTTTTTATCAAAACGTTTCGTATTATCTTCCGTTTCCACCGAGTATCAAACACACACTCTTTGACCAAAGGAGTGAAGTCACAACCACTATGTGACCAAATGCACAAACAAAGTCATTACTCACAAGGCCATTGTCCCATTGTTGATTCTGTGGGAACAGGTGACCAATAAATGAACACTGCTAAATATAAGAAATAGACGATATCCCTAGACATGAGCAATTGAACGAGAACAGTCTATATCCGTAGATTAAATAACGTTTTCTGTTCGGATTTCCCTGTAAGCTACCCAGATCCATATACACCTGAGAAAAGCCGAAAGATTGTGATAAAAACAACCAAGATGTGGATAAAAGTCTGAATATAAAAAGTGTAAAGATAGATAGATAGAAAAGTACTGAAAATAGATAGATATATAGATAAATAGAAGGAAAGAAAATGGCTGAGAATAGATAGATAAATAGGAAATGATTGCGAATAGAATAGATAGATAGATAGATAGATAGATAGATAGATTAAGAGACATAGATGTGAACAGACTCAAATAGATAGACATGAACAGACTCAGATAGATAGAAAGACGTGAGCAGATTAAGAGACATAGATATGAACAGACTTAGATAGATAGATAGATAGATAGATAGATAGATAGATAGATAGATAGATAGATAGATAGATAGGCATGAATAGATTTTCTGCTAGACTTCTAAAAAGCGCCACTCCCTCCCGTCCAATAACTTGAGGGTACGCAGCGTATAGCCGCGCCAAGGGAACAATTTACTTAAGCTGAGTGATTTGTCTCCTGACGAGCAAGAAATACTTGGCAGACCTTGCTGGTCGCTCGACCAGGAATCCGCGTACGTAAAATATTTTACCAGTGAAGCATAATTCTCTTATGTTTTGTCATGTAACGTGTGTCTATATACGTACATATTACTATTGATCTATCTACTAGTAGGCATAACTATTAATACCAATATTTATTTATGTATTGGCTTTATCCTGAAACCACACTCATGCACGTCAAAATACCCATATGTGTGTCTGGGCTTTTAGGTATAATATAAATAGTATTAACACCTATTAATATACGTAAAATTATATAATTTAATGTATGCAAAATTCTCTGTAATGTAATTTATTCTGACCTGGCATTTCGATATAAGTCGTTTTTTCACCGTCGTTGCGTGGCTTCCCTCTGTCTTTTCTATAAGTATTTTCATGGCTACGGTTTTCCTTAGTGCCTTAGCTACAGGAATTCAAGCGCGCTTACTAGATTGGCAATTAGGTCTTGTCATCTTTCTGTTGATCTAGCTAGATGCAATGGCCAATTCTGTTCTAACAGTTTTTCTCGTAGTTCTCGCCTATGAATTTTTTTTCCTATTATTTATTCCCAGCTATTTACAATCTTCAAAATTTTAAATACAAGATCAATCGCCATCATCTGTCTTCTCGAACCCTGTTTCTTTATTTTCCTTTCCACTTCGCTAAAGTATTTTCGTTCGGCAACGTCAGTCTCCATCTTCTGTTTTCCTGAATCCTGTTTTTTTTCTCTTTTTTATTGTCGTTTTCTCACTTCTCCTCACTGAAGTCTTCTCCTTTCATTCCATCTAATCCCCTGCGTCTTAGTGGCCTTATCTCCTTGATTGGGGGCGAAAAGATTAAAAACAAATGTCAAAGCGGGGAGTAATTTGGCAAGACCAGTGCTGAATAGTTATCGAAAGCTAATGATTATTACTCTCATCAATAAATAAAATGTTCACCTTATCTGTAAAAAGATAATATATATATATATATATATATATATATATATATACATACATGGTATGTATGCATGTATATATATATATATATATATATATATATATATATACAAATATATATATGTGTGTGTGTGTGTGTGTGAAAATATAGAGAAAATAGGAAAGAACTCGTTAGGTAAATAATCCAAAGTTCTTTAGTGTATTGTTATTATTTTTAAAAAATAGTGCTCGATACAAAAGTAGAGCCTAAATATAATTATTTATCTAAAAATATGATTCCAACGCTACATAAGAGTTCTCATGTTTCAAAACAACACCCGAAAACATCAACATAATTATTTGAATTAAATTGAATTAAAGTACCAAACTCTGTTTCAAAAATTTCGCGTGAAGCTGAAATTATATATATATATATATATATATATATATATATATATGGAGATGGGCGTAAGAATTTCAGAGACAACTATATTATATATCTGCAAAAGGACTAGACAAAAAGTACAAAAGGAAAACTTATATCAGCCGACGCGTTTGCAAAAAGATCAAGAGACAGATTTTACACGTTGATTGCAGGCACGTTTGTGCCAATACATATATAAAAATTCATTAAATCCGACATAGGTTTAATTTAATTGTTTAAACGTTATTTTAATGGAAACTGATATTTGGATAGATGCTATACTGTTTAATAATAAAACCAGAGCATGTACTCAAATATGAGTATACATTGCAAATAACGTTTAAACAAATAAATTATATATATATATATATATATATATATATATATACATATATATTAAAGACATTTTTATGTTTAACGTTCTTTTTTATAGATACAAGTATTTAAGTAAATGCTCTGTTTATAATAAACAGTATTAAATAACATTTACCGGCCTATATTTATATTTATTATAAACAGAGCATTTACTTAAATACTTGTATCTATAAAAAAGAACGTTAAACATAAAAATGTCTTTAATAAATAAATTGTCGGACTTTGTCCATTTCTTAATATATATATATATATATATATATATATATATATATATATATATATATTCAAAGTAATAATCACATATAGAATCAATCAGAAATATTAATGCGATTATTGGCGACATCCATCGCTAGTAGTATAATGTATGCATTGAAATACTGTTAATCCATAGAGTGAAGTGATCCTCGTCTATAAAATTGATGTCTGTTGTTTCCAGTTGATGTGTTCTTAAAATGCTAGTACTTACGAATAGTCTTCTATTCATCATCAGGCATGTGTTGTTTTTTTCCTTATAAAATCAAAAACTTGAAGACGAAATAATTGTTTGTCGACCGAAACATGATGAATAGAACACATAAACTGGAAACAACAGACATCAATTTTCTATGCGAGGATCACTTCACTCTATGGATTAACAGTATTTTAATGCATACATTATACTACTAGCTATGGATGTAGCTAATAATCGCATTAATATTTCTGATTGATTCTGTGTGATTATTTCTTTGAATGTAAATTATATGCTGCCTAATGTTTTATATATATATATATATATATATATATATATATATATATATGAATAAAGAGAAAAGGAAAAATTCTCTTAGCCGACGCGTTTCGTCTTCTGAGTGACTTTATCAAGGAGGCAGATGCAGGGATTTTATTTTCTTTTTAACATTTTTATATTCATATTTGGTAGTAAGGGAAAGTAGTAATTCTTTCAAGAATAGAAATAGTGGGAAAAATACGTATATATAAATATTTAATATATTTATATTTAGGCAAGATTTGATAGCGCCAATCTTCACAATTTCCTTTCTAAGTAAGTTACTTCCTCTTTTAATAAGTATGGCCTTCTTTAGATAAAAAATGTGGTCGAATTTAATTCTATGTATAACTAATGCATTTGGTTTTATTCATATTGCCCTTCTACAAATATACTGTAACATAAATTTTTACACACACACACACATATATATATATATATATATATATATATATATATATATATATATATATATATATATATATATATGCGCGTGAGTGTGTGTGTGTGTGTATGTGTGTTCAGTTCTATGTAGAATGTGCTGCGAACATAAAAACTTGAGCCTCGATATCGGACCGCCATTTTTCATATATAATTAAAATTAAGAATTTTCTTATGCGACCGAATTGCTTTCGACTATTTTTTATTGCAGTCATATCTATTTTAAAACATATTTCTGGCTTACATTTTTACTTACATTGAGAGAACTTCTTTACCTCTTCCTCGTCAAAGTCAAAACAGTTTTGGGATTTATTGTTGCAGGCTGATGTTGTTTTCCTGACGCCGCTCAGTGTTGACCTCAATGTCAAATTTTATATTTTTAATTTACAGACGCTATATATATATATATATATATATATATATATATATATATATGAAGAAATATAGTCTTAACATCTGCTATATTGATGGGATAAAGTGCTCAATATCAGAGATAGAGCGTGTTTAAATAAAAAAAGTGAATATAGAAGTCAACACTTAGAGGCGAAAGTCATGCTAAATGCAATCGTCAGGCTTGACGATTGCATCTAGCATGAAACATACTGTCGCCTCTAAGTGTTGACTTCTATGTTCACTTTTATATATATATATATATATATATATATATATATATATGGGATGTATCAAAAATAATTTTATAAGCTTGGGGGGCGGGTTTCTCACACCAAGACAATGACAAAAGTCCATATAAGCATATTCCTAAAAGTCTATTGTTGTACCTCAACACAGAATCTCATAACAAATGTTCTAAAGTCCCCCGCTTTCTTCTACAAGCACATGTGTCCCGTCGGATCATTGACTGGCGGACCCTTTCAAATACTCCTGCACGGTGTCGAACGCTTTCACAGACCCCCATGACACGTCGGTGAAGTGCCTCTGCGTTATTAATGTCTGCTGTATAAACCAATTGTTTTGGGTGGTCCCACAGACAAAAAAATTCCAAAGGATTGAGGTCTAAAGAACGTGTACGTCATGGAACTGATTCCCCCCTACCTATCCATTTCCATGCTAGATGTCAGCCAGTTCACCGCGAACAATGTCCCAAAAAAGGTCTACAGCCCCATCCTTCTTGAATCACGTGCGTCTTCGTATAAGCAAAAGTACATTCTTTAGCAGGCCTGGTAGTGTGTTCGAAACAAAGTCTCTATAGACAGCTTCTGTAAGACGTGCCGGGAGAACATATGGACCTACTAGACAGTCACCTACAATTCCAGCCCACACCTTAATCGATAAACTGATGCTGATGTTTAACCTGTATTGTACCACAGGGATTCCGATCTGCCCACAAATGTTTGTATTAATTTGTTATTCCATCTTTTCAAAATGTTGTTACGGTTTTTTGGGTATATAGTACATAACTAGTGAGCGAGTCAGAATGACTTATTTCCCTTTATAGTCCCAATAGAAGGTTGACCAATCAGAAGCCGCCCAATCTTGTTTCCTCCTACCGGAAGGACCAAAGGCGACCAGGAGAAGGATGAACTACACTCTGCTGTGATATCCACTGCGAACCTCCACTACGCTTTCCTACTGTCTCCGAAATATTCACTGCCAACCTCTGGATTCGATACTCGAAGACGACCGTCATGAAAATGTCTAACAAATGTTCCCTTAGCCGTAAATAGGACTGAAGAGACAAAAAACGGATCAGCAGTTTATGCAATAAACCATCATCAAACGTTCTTCTGTTTTTGTGTTGCAAATGATACGGATACAGGAGCTGTTCTTGAAGTACCCTCCATGTGGTACTATGTGATGTACGACACGCTAGGGTCACTTGACGGGTGCTGATACTTGGATGGTCTCCCACAATCTGTAGAATCTGTTCTTTGTGGTCCAGCGTTTGAGGGCACCTGATCTTCCTCGACTTATAGTTACTTTCTCAACAACACGACGATAAACAGCAGCAAAGTTTGGATGACTCGGCTGCCTTCGGCCAGGAAATGCAATCTGATACAGATGTGCAGTCTTGCGTCCATTACCATTCGTGCGACCTCATGTAAAAGTCATAACTGTCTGCTCACGATATCAATATCCTTCCATTGTTAAACGGAACACTTCTCAGTTAACTGGCGACTCCATAATTTAAATGTTGAATACAGACAAGCTACAAATGGGCACGAATGACAAATGTAACCTAGTCTATATGGCCACACGGCGTCATTTACCGTAAGCTTTCTTTAAATTAATAACTCAAAAGCGAAGGATTTGCGGACATATGTTTAGATGGACTTTTTGTCCTTGTTTTGGTGTGAGGAACGCACCCCAAAAGTTTGTAAAAATAGTTTCGATATACCTTCTTGATATATATATATATATATATATATATATATATATATATATATATATATATATATATATATATATATATATATATATATATATATATATATATATATATATAGATACTAAGTCATATATATATATATATATATATATATAGATAGATAGATAGATAGATAGATAGATACTAAGTTATATATTTCAAACTAAGTCCATACTTTCATCTATGTGTAAAGATGTTCTACCCCCCCACCATATTAACTCTGTTATTTACTATTTCAAATGTAGTTGTGGATGCGACTACATAGGTAGAACGACACAGCGGTTGGACGTGAGAATTAAACAACACGTACCTGCGATAATACTAAAAAAAATTTTCTTTGGGCGATACCATTCGTAACACGTATGGGTCTTCCATCGCGGATCATTTTATAAAGAATCCAACTTGTGCGATGGATTTCAGTGTGGACTGGTTTTCCGTCTTGGCCAGTTCGCACTCACTTTTCCATCTTAAGGTGCTGGAGTCGCTTTACATCAGGTCTAGGCAGCCTTCTCTTTGCAAACAGAGAGATTGTTTGCTTGGACTTGCTGTGATGCGATTCTAGCAGCTTGGTTGGTATAATTTTATATATATATATATATATATATATATATATATATTTTTTCTTTTCCTTCCCTGTCCATTCATTCATGTCACCCATGACAGACTTTTTCTTTTCCTCATAATCTAAATTCCCCGTTAACAGTTCTGACGAGAGGGGACGAAACCGGTCGACTGTTGTGTTTTATTTTAAACTTATCATGGCCTACAATACTACATTTCTAGTTTTTAATGCCTTAATACGCTTTTGTACCGTTTCAAACCTATTTAAATAGATAGATAGATACACCTAGTGAGCCAGACAAACCTACCTAGGAAAGATTGAAAATAAACAAACCCATGTCAAAATCGTCTAAACAGAAATGCTTATATATATACGATCCGTTTAGGTGAAACCTAGGTAACTTTGTCTGGCTCACTAGGTGTATCTAGGTCTGCTCTACGGTTGTATTGAGCTCTTTTGTTAGTTAGTTGTTACTCGTATCGGTTTTTTTTTCTTTGGGCTTCAGACCTGCATCTGTGCGATTTTTTTGTCGACAGAAGTTCATGTTTGTAGATCTTTCTTTTTTTAAAACCTTTTTTTCCCTCGAGATTGATTTGATTAGCAAATCAAGAATTCGAGGGTTTTTCGAAACGTGTCTAGTTATCTATATATATATATATATATAGAGAGAGAGATTTGATAAGACGGTTAGTAAAATTTGAGGAATAAAAAGCCAACAAAAAGATAACAATATAGAGAAGATTGTTGATATTTATTATATATTATCCTTTTGACTAAATTAAAGCAAGTAGAGAAGGATTTTACAATCGGAATTTTCCTACACAGACGTAACATTTTCTTTTTTAACGAGACCCAGAATAAACAAAGAAGTGGAACTCACGCATTCCGAGGAATGTTCTTGTTGTTAGACTGAGGGCACCCTGTTGAAAGTATATTCTCTGATTAAATCCAAATCCCTGTTTAATTCCTCAATGTGTGATTTTATTTTGAAAATATATTTCAACTCCGATCTGTGTCTATTTTGTTGGCTATTGAATGAAGACTCTAAAAGCACGCATCTGATGTCATCAATCCTATGAAATGGTAGGTTGAAGTGTGCAGCGATAAGGAAATTGTTGCTGTTGTCTTTGATGGGATTTTTTTT